CAAATAAACCGCTCCGAATGGATGAACGGTCAGTCTATAGTCTACCGCCGGGTTCTGCAATTCACCATCGGGCCACCATAGCAATCGCAGGGCGTCGCGCTGATCCTCTGATATCTTAATTTGGAGGAACATCTCTTGTATGTTGACTGCCACTGCTACTGCTCCTAACCGGATTCGGTTGAGCACGTCAATCAAGGGAGTAGTTCAGTCCGGTCCCTGCAACATACAACAGGTTGCCGTACCGCGCCGCACGGTCGAATACCACACGTCTCTTCCCTGGCTTTATGGGACTTGTTACCGAGTTGTGTGGCAAATACCACAGTCTTTGTGATTGTGAGACATCCAACCGTTCTGTGTCCCAGCTGAACGCTCCGTTACATTGCCGGTCGTAAGGTCGACGGAAATCTATGTCGCGGATCAGTCGCCTTGTAAGGTACTCTAAACTTTTTAAGGCTATCCCATAATTTTTCGGCAATCGGTCGTATCCCACCCTCTTTGGCAACGGCACCTCGAACCGGTCGGGCTGGCACCATGTCCCTGTTTTGACTATTGCTAACGCCTGATTGTCTTCTACGGAAGGGTCCCCGTTTTGGTCGTTCAAATCATCGAACTCATTATCATACATCCTTTAAAGAGCTCGTTCGATCCTATCGTATCTAGCGGTGGTGGTGGTGGTGGTGAATTACACCGAGAGCTGGGGCACGTTGGACAGAGAAAAATTCTTGCGGCCGTACGGCAAAGATTCTGGTGGCCCCATCAGGTACAAGACGTCATAAACTTCTACAACTCATGCCGACTGTGTTTGTAGATGAAGCCTCCAAGGACGTTCAACAAATCATCAATGACACCAATGCCGGCGGGCTATCCAAATGAACGACTGGGAATGGACATCACCGGACCCCTACCGGAAACGACTAAAGGAAATCGTTACATATTTGTGATGGTCGATTACTTCACCAAATGGTGCGAAGCCCAACCGCTATCCAGGGCAGATTCGTTCATGATCACACAAAAATCCGCAACGTGTGGGTATCACTTTGGGGCGCTCATTTGTACATCCATACGGATCAAGGTTCGAAATTTGGAAGCCTGTTGATGGCCGACCTCTACCAACTTTTGGGCATAAAGAAAACCAGGACTGCACCCTACCATCCCCAAGACAATGGGTTGCTTGAGAGAACAAATTGCACACTGAAGAGGTTATTGAAGGTATTTGTGAGTCGACAAAATACGAGAAGATGGAACGCTGCCCTCCCGTTATGTCTACTTGCATACCGAGCCTCATTACAAACGTTTACCGGCCAGTCACCCCATTTCTTAGTCACAGGCAGGGAACTGAAACTACCACCGGATCTTGCGATATCTCAATCTCAAGAATCAGCTCATCTTACAATCAACTACGTCTCCAGGCTGCAACGATCGTTACTCATGAGTCATCAACTCGCACGGGAACACCTGAGAACAGCACAACTCCACCAAAAAGAGTTCTACGACAAGAAGACCTACGGTTCGCTGATGCAAGCAGGAGAACAAGTGTGGCTAAAATCAACAACTTAATCACTTAGAATGCCGTCAAAACTGAAACATGAGCGAAAAGGGCCGTTCATAGCAATCAAAGTCCACAGCCCAACTACATGTCGCGTGGGTAAGATCGGCGGAGATCCGAATAGTAACAGCCAAGTAGTTCACTTCAACCTCCTAAAACCGACATCGCGCAAAAGCAGATTACTAGGTCTTAAGCTGAATGAATGCCGCCTGTCGCCAAAAAAGTAGAGTGACCTGTAGAAGGGCTTGGGATAGTCCTTTCAGGAGAGTGAGCTGTGTAATTACCTATCTGTGCTATTACACCATTACTTTCTTTCTATGTTCTAAGTAACCCGTTGTGCGCTATTGACCAACGTGCTGAACACACGAATGCACTGTACGTCAACCAATTCGCACTTGAGTGACGCGTAGACGAAACCGATACGAATCCCGAAATAAAACACGATTGATCTGTAATGTTTTACTGTACTGAATTAACGAAATCATTACAAAATGTACAATAAAGNAATAAAGCAAACCTCAAATATGCGGCCAAAAGCACTCAAGCAAGCGAGCAAAATATGATGTCCAGAGAGAACCAAACAGTCGCTCACGTTCTCTGACCACGCAAAATTCAAATGTGCCGGGTATCGAATTATCAGAAAAAGAATAATGTATGGTGTTTATGATTGAGAAATTTCAATAGGGAAGCAACGCACAGATAGAGCTATGTCATCATAAGTCATCATGGGTTAGGAGGGATTTTCAAAAATTCAACATGATATACACCGACCGCCAAAATTCTTCCTGCGCTTGTCTGAGTCAAAGGGTTGGTGCAGGTCATTGATTCTTGTCCACCTGTCTACCTATTCAGTCCCTGCAGTCTTGCTTCTGACTACGAACTGTTCAACCTTCTCGGCACTCGTTGATCTTTACCTCCGACGACTTGCACATTCCTTCGTCGAGATCCGCCGTCTACATCAGCACGCTTGCAGCCAGTCGCATGATAACTTTATAGTAGTGGGTCAAATGAATATCATTACAGATAAAGTCTCGAAGTTTAAACAAGGAGGGGGAGGGGGGTGATGTAATTAATGTTCAAGTTTTACGAAGTCATGTTCAGCATGCAGGTGATTGTGTGTATGTAAATGGATGAATATTGTGAGGACATGGGTCACACCTTCGAGGTTAATGTCATAAATTGTGTATCAATCTGATAAAGGGACACTCAGTCACTTAATGAAATAGAGAGGACTTATGATGAGGGCGTGAAAGCACGTGTTCATACAGGTGGGGTGAATATCACTGGAGCGCAATTGGTACAAGGGGCAGCTAAGTCAATATAATATGCAGCGGGTCTCCGCAACTTCATCAAGTAACGGCATGGTAGCCATCTCCCTCCAACAAAAACACTCGTCGAATATCACGCACCTGTTCACCGGCAGACGTTTTCAATTTCACTGCTCTTACTAGTCCGTCTGAGTCCGTGTTGCTTTCTATGACTAAACCCAGTGGCCAGTTGTCGCGTTGTAGCTTTGC